GAGCCTTGAAGCACCCTACAGTTATGAGGAGAAGAGTTGATTTCCGAGTGCTGTACTGGACAAACTGAGTACGGAACGCGAAGTGGTCTGAAAGTTAAGAAACAGTTTAGCCAGGATAGCCGCACCCAGATGTTGTCGTAAGGAGAGGGAGGTGGTGCAGAACAGTAGCAAAGGCAAAGGAGAAGTCAAGTGTTGCAGATGCGTACGCACGACAAGCCTTGCCTAGCTCTTTCAGAGCAGACTGAACCACAAGAGCAACAGTATCCAAGTTACCACGCCTCGCTTTCAATGTGAACTGTAAAAGGTCCGAGAAAGTGGAGAAGCTTGACATAATGACATCCAAGGCAGGACGTTACAGGAGTATGAAAGAAGCGTTTCAGAGATTTCTGATGAATAAATGTGAAAAAAGCCAGCTCATTCTAAATAACAAAATCACTGTCTGTCCGATTTTTTCAGCAGTCGCGTCCTTTAAGGGCCTTCCAGTCTACGCATCTTCACTTTCGGCCTGTTGTAGGTATAAAGTTAAGCTGAAACGACCGGTACCGAGAAAATACAGCTCATCCCTTCTAAGTTATCCCCTCTTATAAGAACCCTGCAAGTAGAAGAGCTAAAATCCTTTAATTTATTTCTAGTCGAAAGGAAGATGATTGGTCCCAGCCAATAAAAACGCCCTTAGTGGATGTTTTGGCACATTTTAAATAATTCATATTGATCCAACTGTGGAAAACTCGGCGTCTCGGACCCACGACAGCTAGGGGAAGGCTTTAGTACGGCCAACGCTTCAGTCATCTGAGCTACAAGGCCCCACCGAGAGACGTGAGTTCAATCAAATGTGGGTCAAGGTACCCACTCAACCTACTGCAATGCCTAGAATCCACGTCTCCCGGTGAGGCCTCACAGCTCAGGTGGCTAGGGCATTGGCTGTACTAAAGCCCTCCGCTCGCTGCTGTGGGTTCGAATCCCACCTAGACGCCAAGTTCTTCACAGTTGGGTCAATATGAATTATTCAAAATCTGCTAAAACATCCATAAATAACGTGAGCTTGGTAGTCATCTGGTGGATTCTAGGTAGATTAATTAGGGAATCCTGTTTGTTAGTCAGCTTGCTGTATCAGATTTGATGGATTCCGGACGTTACAGTAGGTTGGGGAGGGGGTGGGGGGTAACTAGACCCAACTGTGAGTAAACTCACGTCTCTCAGTGGGGCTTTGTAGCTCAGCTGACTGGAACGTTGGCTGTACTAATGCCTTCCCCTCGCTGTCGTTGGTTCGTACCCCACCGAGGCGCCGATTTTTCCACAGTTAGGCCAATATGAAAAACGCCACTGCCTAATAAGAGGGCAAAAGGTATCGTTGAAAGAACAAGTCAGCGTCCACTTGTGCGTCCGTATTCTTTGATCATGGCGCTAAAATATCTTGGTAGGTTCTGAATGAGCTCATATTTAATTCTTTTAGGAGGCTGTTTCCATGGCCTTTGGATATCGTTGTTGTGATTTCACCAAGTACTAAGTAGTTGGAGTCGTGAAACTCTGAGCTACAGACAGTCTCCGAGGACTTGATCAATAAGATTCCGGTCAGGGGACCGGCAAGACCAAAGAAACTATTGAATACCAACTTTCCCCCTAAATATCTCGGCAAAATATGTTTTTTTTTGAGGCATGGCACAATCAACTGGAGAGGGAGCCTAGGCACATATCTAGGCACTGGCCGTCCCTCTTCCTCCTTCCCTTTTCTTCTTCTTCTTCTTCTTCTTCTTCTTCTTCTTCTTCTTCTGAACCCTTATTCTGCCGAAGGGCGGATAAATCACTTATTTTGCAGGTCTCTGTTATCTCCCTTGGCTCTACTAGCCCAGCACTCACTTTAATTCTAGGATGAGCAGTCTTTGCCCCATTTCTCGGACTGTTGACTCAGACCGCATATGTGAACAACCGTTACATTTCTGACCGATTTTCAATTGCGGGTTCCACAAAGCCTAACAACACATAGCACAGTTCAGTGTAGGTTTGGCTTTTAGGGCTGGAACTAGGCGTTGGTACTCTCGTAAGTTGTTTAGCTCGAAACTTAGCAACGTCTGACACAGGCGACAAAGTGCTCTAAACTTGCTCTTCCCTTACAAAATTTGCGAAGAAACTCACGCATGACACTTCACGGGTCTAGGAAATTATATGTTCTCTCTCTCTCTCTCTCTCTCTCTCTCTCCCTCTCTCTCTCTCTCTCTCTCTCTCTCTCTCTCTCAGAGGTGGCCGCTGAAGGTTCGTTTGCAGGAATGCACAGATAGTCACCTATATTTTCATTTTCGTCGACCTAACGTCGCAATGTTCCGCCAAGACTCACTCCTCTGGGGGTGCAACTCGTGGACCTCCCTGCTCCCCTCTTTCACGAGCCTCGGAGTTCAGTTGCTTCCCCTCATTTGGTATTGTTCGCATCAAATGACTGGTGTTGGTTCATGTGAGTATGTCCAAATGCATGACTTAACCGAGTTCGATTGTATTTGCTACCCATGCCACTTCCACCATGGATTTGTTTTACATGTTAAACTCATGAGTCATTCACGCGGGAGCCAACTAGGTTAGAAAAATAGTGAGGAACCAATACCTAGGTCTCTGCGGTTGGCGTAGAGGACAAAAGTTGCACTGTTGGTTACCTAAGCATGCTCTCCCATGTACTCGCAGGCGGATTTTTATGTGGGTTAATTGTACACAACGAGGATGCCAACTGTAACAACATCTAATTTACTAGTGGGAGTTCCACAATCGGGAGCGATGATCTTCACCGTGTGCCCCACGACGTTGGTGCGGCACCGGTGACTTCGGCCCGAATTAATTTATGGTGTTCGGAGACTCGCGCAGCATTTACCACACACACTCTCTCCTCCCTCACCCATCAGGCTCCAATGGCTAAGACGACCAGAGTTGGGTTTGGGCGCAGTGACTGACAGGGCTAAATAGCCCGCCTTCGCGTGTGTCACACGCAACCTGCTGCCCACACAATGTATCAGGTTTCCACAAAAAAGGAGAGTCACGTTAAGAAGGGAGTATTGGGTCTGACTCACAGTCTTCGAGCCAGTCGCCCTACAACGCTGGTGTTTCATGATTTACTCTATTGACAACGCAGGTACTGACTTTTGGCTAGTACCGTATTCTCAGTGACCAGACCGAACTTGGAGCAGCCAGAGGCGGAGGGATTCGCACCTTACAGCATGTCCTCTCCCCTTGTGGTGCTTAACGCCCAGTCATCCGTGAACAACAGATCGTGAACGCCAGCCTCGGAAAATGCTTTCAGGCCACGAATGTTTAAGAGCTTTCCGTCAGTTCGGTCCGTCGATGTCGATCCCCGGTCGTGCTTCCGGGTACGCATGCGCGTGAACACGAGACCGACTGCTTTACCCCATTAGTCAGTGCGACTGCTTCTGAGACTGTGTCATTGTCCCTGACGCGAGTCATCATCCTGTCGTGAAGTTGCCTCACCATTTTTGTGAATCATTACCGGCACCCAAATTTCAACATGATTCTGGACAATCTATCGTGACTTGCTGTATCAAAGACCTTCATCTGATCGACGAAGGTGATGGGAGGTTGGTTCTCATTTCCTGGCACTTCTCCTGTAGTTGGCGGGCCCCGAAAATGATGTGTGTGGTTCCACGGTGTTTTCAGAATCAACACTTTGTTTTTAGAACAAGTCATTTCTCGAGTACAAAACGGAAGGAGACTTTTCTTGGTATGTTGGGAAAGAAGGTGTGGCTAGATCGCAGTTGGTAGCCAGGCCCCGTATTACAGGTGGCAGGGGGGGTTGTTTACTGGGGATATTTTGTGGGGCTCCATAATTACATCTGACCCATTTGGTTTCCGTCTTACGTTTGAGGTTAGGATTTGGGTACCGGTTAATGGTTTCCGATTTTCCGGCTAGGTTTATGCCTTTAGGCTTAGGTTTTCGGGTTACGGTTAGGGTTTGAGCGTACGATTAGGTTTCAGTGTTAAGGTTAGGTTTTCAGTTACGGCCATGTCTAAGGGCTACGGTTGATTTTACGATTTCGGTTAGGGTTAGGGTTATGCTTGCCATTAAGGTTAACGGTTAATGTTTAAGGTTGAGGTTAGGGTTAGGGTTAAGGTTAGGATTAGGGTTAAGGTCGTCGTCGGCTTCCCCAGTCCTGGCTACCAACTGCGATCTAGCCGAAGGTGTCTCTGTGGTTATCACGTGGCTGGCAGTTCCCCTTGCGTTTATAGATGTGCACGATAGTTGCATTCTTGAAGCTTTGAGAGATGTCTTTGTCGCCACATCTTCTGGAACGGAGAGGTAATATTTTCTATAAGTTGTGAACCGCCGTACTCGGCATTACGTCCGCTCCCAGTACTTCTCCACTGGACAGGTGTTGCATTGCCCTGATTGTCTCAGGCAGGGAAGGCGATCGATCGAGGTCATCGTTGGTGTCCACTTCAGAAAGTCGATTTATGGCCTCTTCGGATGATTTCGATGGGTGGCTGAGAACGCCCTGGAAGTGCGCGGTACAGCACTCCAGGGTCAGTGGCCTCCGCGTCGAGAAGATTGCTCTATCCTGGCTCAACAGTGCCGCAGTCCCTTTGACTTGTGGACCGTAGATTGCTCTTATGGCACGGTTGTATCACCCTACCTTTGCGAGTCGGTCACTCGTTCTGCGGCTCCCTCAGCCTATGCTGTACTAGGCTTCGCCATCGGAATTATGCGGCTTTGGTGGTGTTTCTACTGTCACTACTGTAGGTCGCGTGTAGATCATGTACTTCGGAGAGCAGAGTGCGGATTTCCTCGTCATTGTCATCAAACAAATTGTTGACGACGCGCACGGCCGAGGATTTCTATGGCGGTGGCCTGAATGACAACCCGCAACTCCTTCCCCTGAGTTCTGACACTGGTATGCGCTCCAGGATTTGCATTTTTTCAAATTGAAGCTCACGCAGTTGCTAGAATTGAATCAGAATTCAGTCATGTCGAGTAATGCGGTGTTTAACTTACCTGATGTCAACTTAACATGTGGCCACCTGCACGGTTACAGTTGGGACCTCGTCATGGGGTTGAGAAGGCGGTGATGCGTCCAGCAGTCGGCACCACACATCGCCTTAGTCACGAGCACGTCATGCTGGTAACGCCTCTGAACCAGGACGTAGTCGAGGAGATTCCATCGACGCGAGTGAGGGTGCATCCACGATACCTTCTCCTGCAGTGGAACTCGAAAGATGTTGGCCAGGAGTCGACTGTGTTCTGCGCAGGCCTGCAGAAGAAGAGAGCCATTACTGTTGCAGCTACCGATGCCATGGCGACCGAGCACTCCCTCCTAGACAGCATGGTCCGTGGACGAGCGGGCGCTGAAGTCACCAAGGACGACCAGTTTATCCGCCCTCGGCACATTTGCTAGAATAGCGTGCAGTTCTCCACAGAGCTTGTTCTTCATGTCATCGGAGTTGATCATTGAGGTGGCGTAGGTGCTGTCGGTGGGGGCTAATTTGTTCATGCGGAGTGACAGCTGCACGGTCATGAAACATTCATTGATGCCATGTGGCAGGCATGGCAGCCGTCTCATGAGGACGTCCATGATGGCGAATGCGATTCCGGCATCTTGTTATTCTGCCCAGAAGAAGGTGTAGGCGTCTCCCACTACCCCTAGTTGGCCCTGTTCAAAGAAGCCGGTCTCACTGAGAGCCGCAGTGTCCACTTTTTAGCAGGCTACTTCGTGAGCGACCAGAACTGTCTCTCTGTCCGGTCGGTTTGCCATTGGATTGTCTAAAAGGTTATGAACATTTCAGGCTGCCAGAGTGTCAGTCAGTGGTAAGACAAGAGATTGAGGATCGACGTTGTCGTTTTTTGTACAAGCCACGATCAGTTTGCCGACGACATGTTTTATCAGCAGTGTTTTGTGGCACCTTTTCTAGCTCCCTCCCCCAGCGAGAGGGTAAGCAGTGCTATCCCTAAATACGGCTGCTGAGTCATCTCAGGCGACTGACGAATTTCACTATGGGTGACGACTTTTATTTCGATGGGAAGACGACTCGAATTAGAGTGGGTCGCCTAGGGGATTGCATGTCGTCCTCTGCGTAGGAATGTTCGTTTGCGGGGCGGGTAGAGAGCTTGAAGGTTAGTTCGGGGACTACTGGCTGTGAAGACACACGCGCGATACTCTCAGTTGGTTTAGCCCGCCGGCCAAGGACGACTACCGGGGTCTGGCCACCCCGCGGTAAATGGGTTCGTGGAGCCGCAGATAGAAGCTGGGTGCCGCTACGGGGTGAAGTGGACGTATCCACCAGGATCACCGATACTTCGACGGGGAACGTTAGTGTACTGTTTACAGGTACTTCTTTTCACCATAGTCATGCCTGCACTACCACATTAGGTTGGCGTCACCTATGTTGCATTTTCATGCATAATATCTGCCGGTATTGCATGTGGGACAGGGTATATACGTCTGTGTAAGGTTGTGCAGCGTTCATTCAAACACATTGATGAACATGATGCGACAGCACAGCCAAAACGTAGGTCAGGGCCCGCGGCATCCCGTACACCCAGATGTACTAGTTCAGGGGTCGGATTTGGCGTAATCTATCACGCTTAAAAAAAATAAATTAACTGTACGTATAAAATATTTTCTCAGTTTTACGTGTAAGTTCTCTCTCTCTCCTAACAGACTACTGTCTCGTCGTCTGTGTAGTAACAATGGCCAAAATTATCATTAGTAAAAATACGACCCTCTGGTAGCGTAACCGGAGGGGTACGGGCGATCAAAGGAGTAACTTCGGGTGCGCATTTTCGTCTGCCACACACGGGCGCTCAATACCAAATACCGACGAGGCGGTCACGCCAATGTGTGAGTCAGGTGATGGCCACCGAGCTCACGTGAGCCCGCATGGGCCGCTGAGCCGCGCAACACCGCCAGGGTGACTCATGAATCGTCCCCCCCCCCTTTGGGTAGCCAACTCGTCAGACGCCTCGAGGCCCCAGACGCGTACAGACGGTGAACCATAGGGCGAGGACGCAAACCGGCTTAGGTAGGACCGCTAACCCACCCCCCCCCCCTGCCTTCCCACCGCATGGTGTCGGCCGAACGGAGGACTCATCGGCCCCGTATGTTGAGCGTCCCGTAGTTCAGACCTGAAACAAAGCTGTCCCGGTGATTGTCACTTCCTCCTCACTGTTCCAAATCTCCAGGACAATTCAGCGGATGGCTGCTGCACCGCTTAAGTCAATATATTAATTACGGATGGGTTTTTGTTTGCTAAGTCTAATGCGTGGTGGCTGGTACGATTTATTGCTTAAATGGACAGTCGTGTTCAGTAAACTGATTGGCAAACAGTGGGACCATTTGAAAATCTGCTACGCCACGTGAACCGTCTGTTCAGCAAACAGCGCGGGTAAGATCATCCTACTGGACCTAAGAAGCCAGTTAACAGTGCTAACAGGTTTTACGTTCGGAAGCTTTTTATCGCGTTGAGAGCTAAGCGTATGGATGAGCGAACAAAGTCTGTAACAGCTCGCGTCTCTCATAGTCGTGGGCGCACAAATGACGAGGGAGACTTAGAAAGAGAGGAGGAGTTTAAGAAAGTAGCGGTATGACTACTTAGGCTCTGTTTGGCGAAATGGGGTTTGATAACCAGACTTTTAACGCCAAGAAAGCCTGGTTATAGCAGCCTCAACGTCAGACGCGGAAAAACGCACTGCTTCGTTTGAAGGAACGGGAGGGGGAGAAGGAAGAAGAGGATAGAGACAGGACTATTTCTGAAGCACGTCCGTTGTTAAAATAGCGCCACTTGTGTTGACGCGCTTAGTTGTGCATTAGGACACGAGTAAATGGGCAAGCAAGACTAAACAAGATTTTGGTAGGATCACTTAAGGAACAGAAACTGCACTCACTATTTGTGGCTATGAAATCAATTTCAGGGCAGCTAGGGCTAGGGTTAGGGCTAAGGTAGGGGTAGGGTCGGGTGTGGTGAAGGGGTTAAGATTAGAGTTAACGTCAAGGTTTGGGTCAGAGTTGGGGTAGGATACATGAATGTCAGCACGGTTCGATTCTGAGCCGGTTGGGCTCTAGAGATCATATTTCAGTTTCTGACCTCACTAAACATGACGACAGTGGACTCCAAATGACCCAACGGTCGTAGTCGTCGATCAACAACCATGTGGCTTAACATCCGAAAGTGCGATCGGATGGAGCTGGCTAAGAATGTTCATGGCATGGCTCTTCGTGGTGTGGGCCCCAACCGATCCGATTAGTGACTCAAAGAGAATTAACTCTCTCTTTGGGTGATATGGGTTGCTAACAGGCAACCGCATGTCAAGTTGTAAGTTTTTCAAGCAATTAGTATCGGCGGTTGTCCGACAAAGACGGCGGATAGCGAGACACCTGCTGTTTCGCACTTATTCCCGTTTTTTTCTAGCCGCCTATATCCAAACTGGCAGTTGAGGCCTAGTAGGAGGTTACCCGGCCGCGACACCTACCACAGGAGTACGGTGCAAGGTCGCTGCGATAGATCGATAAGTTCGACGTGAGCCTATTCCGGCGTTTATGACTTCGCAATCTGTTTCAACAAAGGCTAACTGACTATGAGAAACTGGTTGACTGTACGTTTTACAAAGGCTGTCCACTAGTTTGAACTAACCTCTCTGAATCGTTGGCTGTGGATGTACAACTCCGGTTACAGATGTTGATCGGGGAGGGGTAGATAAGACAAGCTACTTTTACGGTCTTACATACCTTTATCAGTTGACCTCTACTGCTACTTTCTACGTTTTCTTGATAAAAAGTCACAACTGCAAATGAATGAGCTTGGTCTTTAAACATTTAGGTCGCGACACAACGAAACTTGTTTACTGTCATCAGACTGGACCACTTCCTAATGTTGCCACCGTTTGAAATCTCCCCGAGGCTGGTTACCCTTCTAGTAACCTGAAGCAACATTCTCCTTCTATCTCGCCTCTTCTCCGCACATGGAATCCCCTAAAATTTCATTCACATATGCAAATTCTAAGTTGGTCTGTTAAGCCCTGTTTTCCCGCCGTAGGGTCTTGGTATAACATTTTGCTACTGCAGAAGCCCATGCACATATCCTTTATTGCTCTGCTGATGAATTTCTTGTTTTATAAACAAAGAATATCAATTCACTTAAGCCTCTCCCTCCTATTTGATTTTTCGCTACCACTATGTCTTACTTTATAGCCTCTACTAACATCCGACGACATTATTTTGAAGGAGGTATCTGCTTCGGTCTTGTCTGAGGGCAGCAAAGACTCTTCTGCTGATCTGAATTCAGTTCATCACAGTCCTAACTCATTGTGGTCTCCCACTTACATCCCCTGCCTTTAAAGATTCAGAAAGTAAAAACCATGCTACGACTCGATCAAATAACAGTCAAATGGACGTACATCGGTCTGACTGGCGTGGTGAGCAAACTGCCTCCGTCTTCTGATCTTATGAGTCTGATCAACAACCATATGCTCGGTTACAAATAGACCGATTGTCCAAAGAGTGCACCGTGACTTACAGGAATAGCGTATACCAAGATAACAGGCGATTCGGGCCTACAGTATGATAAGTCATTCAGTATTTGGCACTGGATCGGTGCGTATAGGCATATAAAACCCAAAACCGGGGTTCGGGGAGTGGCTCCCCAGCAATCAGTCACTGTGGTATTTCTGACTAATGGGCTACGACTAATCCCCACACGGCTGCTACCACTCCAGCATCCACCGTCTTTGTCGCTCAGATCGTCGATTTCACCTTCACACATATAGCATCCATCTGCCTTCAGCTTGACTTGATTTTAACTTTCAATAATTATATCACCGTGTTTGAGGCTTTGTTTGGGCCAATTATAAATGGGTTCATTGTTTCAAGCAAACTAACGTTCTCAGTACCTTTCAGTCACCTAACCTCCGGCGCTGTTCACTCATAAGTATCCCGCCAGTCTCCCATGGCGTCCAGTCTAGACGAGGCCTTTTCGATTCAGCAAACACTTACTTATATGGCGTAAACAAGAATCGTGTGTAAATGAGAGACCAAGATGCATCGTTTGGTCAATAAGGGGACTTTTATTTTCTTGTCCAAAACCAAAAAACTGACTGTTGAAGGCGAATGTGCATAGTCGTGGACACGTGACTCATTGCCACGCGTACCCAAAGTGATTGCCGCTGTCAGACTACACCTAGATGAGGGGCCAAATGCGTTGGCAGCATGCGAGAGACGAGGGCGTTGAGCTGCGTCAAGCTACGGAAACAGATCTTGACGCTAGTTAACTTGACCCAGTCTTGCTGCCGAATCCTGCCGGGAGGGGGTAGAGAGAATGAGGTCGATCCTGCTGTACGAGCTTTCTACATAATGACAAGTCTGACATGTTTTGGGCGGCCCGAAGGTCTTGACTTGGAAGTTTG